AACTATTTAACTCTACAGTCTATTAGGTTTCCTCCTTTTCTTTCCCTAGGTTATATCTATATTTAATAGAAGACAGCACCACTTAGCTGTGACATAATCTTATTTTCCATGATAAATATGTGCATTTCCTTCAATTATTTTAGAAATTATTAGAATTTCAGACATTAGTTCAGAGATTTTTTTCTGATTTTGTCATTATACCTTCTTTTACTCATTACTGTGATTACATATAACTTTATACCTCTCTTGCTTGAAGAGATTTCACACAAAATAATTTTAATAAATGCATTCAGTATATTTGCATGAATTTCCTCATGAATTTGAAATTCCAGAAGCTATAACTCTGTTCACTTAAGTGCTTTAACCTGGCTCTCAATATGTGAAGACTCATTTAAGGCCAAATTGGTTTTAAAATGAAACTCTTTGTAAATAGACTATACTATTTGTGAGTTCTGGAAATACCGCTAAAACATTATTCCTTCAGTGCCGTTGAAGAAAGGCTGGGGCTTTTTGTTTATTTATATGCACATAACATACCCCAAGGAAACCAAAATTTAAATATTAAAGGCATTAAAAGTAATGAAGACAATGACGATTAAACATCTAGTATCTTTGAACTACATGTAAGTCATGGAATTCCTCATCCATAAAGTCATAAGGTGGGCTTCCAACTAGAACAGGGAGAGAAATCTGACTAAAGAGATATCCCTATTGTATAGAAGGGACATTGATCCTTAGAGCAGGGGTTAGCAAACTAAAGCCTGTTGCCAAATAGGGCTTAGCACCCATTTTTATAAATAAAGCTTTATTAGAACACTACCCTCACTTGTTCATACATTGTCTATGGCTGCTTTCATGCTACAATGGCAGAGCTGAGTAGCTGCAACAGAGATTGTCCAGCCTGCAAAGTCTAAAATACTTGTTACCTGGCCACTTGGAGAAAAATGTTGCCAAGCTGTGTACACTCACTGGGCTTTCTCAAAAGGAGGATATAAGACACAGCAGTCCTTGAGACTTAGAATGCTGAAAATCAAATTGCTAGGATCATCATTATTCCCTTTAGTAGGAGAGAAAGATTTGGGGCATAATTCTCTATTTGTCAGAGGATTCTGCTTTTCTACTCATCATATTTTGGAGTACTGGATAAGGAGTATTGTGCCTTTTTTTTTCTTATGAATATAAATGGTGTGTACAAATGATACACAATTGAAAGTGCATGTTTTAGGCCATAAAAAAAAGAACGAAATATTACCATTGCAACAGCAGGGATGGACTTAGTGGGTAATGTGCTAAGTGAAATAAGTCAGGCAGAGAAAGACAAATACCATATGATTTCACTTATATGAACAAAATACATGAACAAACAAAACAGAAACAGACTCATAGATACAGAATACAAACTGATGGCTGCCAGAGGGGAGGGGGGTGGAGGGCTGGGTGAAAAAGGTGAAGGGATTAAGAAGTACAAATTGGTAGTTACAGAATAATCATGGGGACATAAGGTACAGCATAGAAAATACAGTCAATAATATTGTGATAACTATGCGTGGTGCCAGGCGGGTGAGTACTTGAAATATCAGGGGTGCATCACTTTGTAAAATATATGACTGTCTACCTACTATGCTGTACGGCTAAAACTAATATAAAGTAATATTGAATGTCAGCTGCAATTGAAGAATAAAATTAAAAGAAAGAATATGTATGTTTTAATAAAAACTTATTTAGAGATATATAGTATAGATAAATAGAAGTATAGCTACATAGCAGAGAAGGTAAGCACCAGAAATGCATAGGTATAAGCTGATGGCTGAGGTGATAGCCAAAATAATGGAGTGAAATACCAAGTTAGAACAAGGCAGACATCTTCCAGAAGAGCAAAGATGGCTGAGGAGACCTAACAGGTAAGCTTTCCCTCACCCCTTCTTATTAGTGGTTAGGACCAATAGTCCACATTTGTGACAACCCTGTTATGCCCAGATTTCAGGATCCCCAAGAAACCACACCAGGGAGCCAGCCGTGTCCGATGCAAAAGCATAAGAGTCTTTATTCAAGCCCGGGCTTGGCTCCCCTACCTTCCTTACTGACGCAGCAGCAAGTGGCAGAGAGAGAGCTAGCCCTGTGGGAAGAAGGTTTTATAGGGGGTTGGAGTAAGGGGAGGAGAAAGGACTGTGGGCCCTGCCGATTGGCCAGGCACAAGTCGGTGTCTTGTTACACAGGATGTGGTCATATCTATGGTGCACACTTCCCTTGATTGTCATTGGTTAGTTTAAAGAAGTCCTGGGTGTGGCTAGCAGAGGCTTGGGCTTCCGGGAAGAAGCCTTGCCAAGCACATGGCTGCCCAAAAATGGAGGATCCAGGGTAAGATGGAGGGCGTAGCCCTTACCCTGGGGCAAGATGGACGGCGTAGTCCTCGCCCTTTCAAACCCCTTCATTTATTGCTACCACACAGATGGGAGAAACATTTTTTAGAAAGAAGGAACAGCTCCAGCAATTGCTCCCGTCTTGGGATTTCTTACAGCTCTCTCTTACCAAGCTTTTATCTATCTCGGAGTCCAGAACACTCCCTCAGCCTTCACACCACCAGGCAAGCTGAGAGTCATGGCAGCTATACCTTTACCCTCTCTCTTCGAATCTCCTTTTTTTTGTACTCTGGATGGAGTAAAAATAATAATCATCTTTGAAATACCTCTGACTTTGTCTTGTCAGTAAATCAACTTAAGGCACAACTGTCTCCTAAAGAGAACAAGATGAATCTTAATTAAGGTTTGGAAATTCAAATGCAATACACAGTTTTCTAATTCTTTCCCACCAACTACTATAAAACACATTGATATTTTTAAGATATTCATGTTGCACTTGACAGTTTCTATACTGCCTTCATAATACCCTAATATATTATGAGTTGCTTTAAGGAACACAACACTTTTACCCAACACCAGACAGAGGCTCTACATAGTTCAGTGAGGCCCCCACACTGCCCAAGGCAGGACTGAGTGAAACTGATTTGATTTGTAATCCTGTGCGCTTTTGATTTAGTCATGTGGCCTCCCAGGAGTTCAGAAAAATAAACTGCTATACACTGATGGTTTCAGGATGTTGAAGCCTTAATCTCCAATGTGACTATATTTGGAGATGGGGCCCATAGGGCGGTAATTAAGGTTAAATGAGGTCATAAAGGTGAGACCTTTAGATGATAGGATTAGTGTTCTTCTGAGGACACACCAGGAGTCCACTCCTTCTCTCTGAATAATAATATAAACTCGAAATACTGGCAAAATAAAAAAGGACCAGGAGGGAAATTTCTTCTTTAATTGCTCTGAAACCATCTATCCAAGACAGGTGAGTAAGCCAGGGCAAGTGGAACAGGGAAAGGGAGACAGACAGTTAAAAGGCCAAGCAGTTTACAGCTATCTAGTAAATCACAAAACCCTCTCTTCTGTTACCAAGGACACTTAAGAGTAAATGGTTTATACTTTTCCTCCCCAACCAGAGGGCAAATAGCTTAAATCAACCTACTCAGGAAGATAGATAACAGAAATCCGATTAATGCCATTTGTTCCAATGATGGATCAAGTGAAGGGAATAAATCTCCTTTTGGTGCATCAGCATAAAGCTGATGAATATTCTGCTGAGATCCTCCCCTAAGACCTTCCTTAAAGTCCCTTTAAAGCCCTCAAGGCGAAGGACCCAGGGCACATTCTCACTCCCAGGAACACACCCACACCTTTCTTGCCCCTCAGGTATTCATCTCCTAAACTCTAAGGCTCCCCATGAGACTTGCAACCAGGAGAGCAATAGGCAGCGGCAGCTCGTCCCAGGCTGACCCCCTGAACTCACCCCCAAGGCCCACTTTTCTCTGACTTTGTGGTGAGTCAAAGCAGCCCACCTCACCTCACCTCTTTCTCATAAAATTTCTAGGGAGCCAAAACAGCCCTGCCTACCTTTCCTGTTGCTTCTTCTATTGTAAGCTCTTGTTTTATTTTCCCCGGCTTTAATTAACGTATTCTCAAAATCACCTGGACTCGTGTTGTAAAATCTTTCCTAAACTAAATCAAGAACCCACAAGCTACAGGCCAGCCAGAGGCAGACCTGATGCAGACCCAATTTCTTTCTAGTAACAACAGGACCAAAGAATACACCTTCAGGTTTGCAACCGACCCAGCTCGGTTTGTTATTTCAGCTCTAACAGGTTCTTTTATACTATATCAGAAGCTCCTGCAACTGGGGGGGGGGGGCGTGTAGTGACCATATGTCCCCCATCTCAAGTAGATTTGCTACTAGGTGGTGTGTAACAATGAAAGCAAGTATAAGACCAAATTCTAGTAAACCTACAAACACTTATTAGCAAGTAGACACAGAAATAAATGAAAGAACCTGTTCTTGTACACCCAGGGACATCCGTGCTCTCCTCTGGCAAGTGTCTTGCATGGAAGATTCACTCTGAAGTGGACACAATGATATCTGACAGCTGGAGCAGCCAAGCTCAATCAGAATGCTTTGCGAAGTGAGGTGACCAGAACCCAACACCAATTAGAGCTTTGGACCATGTGTGCTGCTTCAAAGGTGCCAGATTGCTGGACTTCATGCAAGGGTCATGGTGTCTGCAAAGTCCTTGCAGCCCACCACTTCTCTTCAATACCACTAAGTTCACCAATTAGAAATCATTTCTCATTATGCTGACTTATGGTATAAATTATGCTAAATTATGACATAATATTTAATATCATTAGGCTAATTTCTGAATCGACCTCTGGACAGTAAACTCCTATCTAGGATCATTCCAAAGCTAACCATCTCCAAAGCACAAGTTTCTGATAAGGGGACTTCAAATGCTCTCTAACCGCACCAATGGTGCAGATTAAAATTAATTTACATAGGCATACATCCCATTGTTTACCCAGAGAATAAAACACATACCAAACTTCAATCTTATTGAAAAGCAAATAAAGTCAACATATAATGTAGAAAATCTTTCATCTATGCTGAGGCTTTGAACTTACCACAAATATGGGATCATTGGCTGCAGAATGTGGCAAAGCATTTGTCCCGTTCAGGAAGGAATGAACCAAATTGTGAAGGCTCATCACTTGGGAGTCCAGGGTTCCATCTGCTTTGTCAAACCCCTCCAGGGCATTCCTGAGAGGAATCGGTATGTCAGCAACAACAGTGACGAATTGATAAAGGCTTTTCATTTTCCCCAACCTACTGAATCATCTTCTAATTTGAGATTGGGTAGGGAAATGGGGAGCTCTGCCATGGCTCATTAACTAAGAAGTAGCCCAAACCGTTAATGATGATCTCCTCTAAGGGGAGGGAACTCTTATTCAGCGCTGGTTCTGCACCTGCTCAGTTGGGTTATATCTCTTTAGTGTCTGTATGACAATTTTTTACCTTCACATCTGTCTCCTAGGCCAGGCAATGAACTCCTAGAGAGCAGTTTTCTTCTGAGTTTTATTAACAGGACTCAGTACCACACCCAGCACATGGTCTGTGATCAGTAAACGTTTTTAAATCAACATATACTCTTATATTCCTATTTCTCAACTGAATAGACCTGCAGCCTGACTGTAATATATATATTCAGTGTTCTAAACACATCCCCAAATTTCCCTTTCTTTTTTTTAACCTTTCCATTTTCAGTGTCCATACCCTAACTCAGTGATCCTCAAATTGAAGCATATAACAGCATCACTGGAGAAAAACACTTATTTCATACCCCACTTCCAGAGTTTCTGATTCAGTAGGTTCAGGCGGGGTCCTACCAATTTATATTTCCAGCCAGTTCCAAGGTGATGCCAATTATGGTTGTCTGGGCACCACACTTTGAGAACCACTCCCTTAAATCTATATGGAATGCAATCTGTGTCAAAAGCATTTTTATCACAATGGAAAACTAATGCATGTTTCTTTTCAAGATAATCTTAAAAGTTGCCCTTTATGTCACCTTTGACACTACCCTGAGGACTGTGCCAGCCCATCACAGACCCTGAGATCTGTTACACTTAGCACAACCTCTGCATTTAACTTCAGTCTCCCCACACCCTGGCCCCAAATAACCCATCAGTTATATAATTTATACACAGAAAAGAGAGAAAACCAAGTTTGGGAAAAGAATATGAATCTATCCACCATTTCTTTTTGGAGTCTCATTTATCCACCATTTCTTTTTGGAGTCTCATTTATCTTTGTTTAAAATATTACTTATATACATACATACATATTTCTCATAATTCTTAAAGTTTATTTAGAGGGAGAGAATTATTAGCTGACCTTTAAATTTCAAGCATAGTAATGTTATTGCTGTGTTATAATTTGAGTTGCATGAAGCCTGTAATTCCCCTCTGAGATATCAGACCCCCATTTTAAGATCTATGGCAGGCAGATTTAAAAAAAAAAGACAGAAAAGTATAAGAAAGATCATGAGCAAAATTATTTTGGCAAATATTTTTAAAATACTATAGTTGATGAGGTTCCCTGGTTCTGAAGACTATACCTATATGTGTACGGAACTTAGAAATATTTAAAAATGGTTCTAAATAGCTAAATTATTAAAACTGCACTATTAATTATAGTGGGTGGATGATGACTTTTCTAACACTAATTCCTGGTTATCCCCTCTTATCAAGCCCCTCCATTACTTAGTTTTGTCTCCTAACACCTGAATTTCCTTTCAATTCATTTCAACCACGAGCATGAAAACCTAAGTGTTGTCAAGTGCCCGTCTTACACAGCTCAGAGCACGTACCTGAAGCTGAAGGTAGAGTTCTGGAAGAAAGGAGGATTGTCAAACTGCTTGAGAGACAGACAACCTTCTATGTCTTTTAAGGATGGCAATTTCTCACCGTTTCTTCCCGCTTGATTTCTTCTCAACAAACCTTCATAGGTTCCATTACACAGAGTGACCCGGCGGTTGTAGTCATCTAAGCTAAGATTTGTACCGGGATTACAAAGAATATGTCTTAATGTGTCAATAGTATCATAACTTTGGGCCAAGCATACAATACAATGTATTACAGTTACCTTAAAGGGTCAAAGATATGTGGTAAAAGTACTACCTCCAAAAGTAATTATGTATTAAAGACTTTCAAAAACATAGATGCAAAACTATAATATGTGAATAGATATGCATAATCATTATATTTACTATTCCACTGGAGAGACTGTAAGAGGGCTTACAGATAAGATGTTGATTCCTATTATGTGCATTTGAATCTTGAGTGATAGAAGAGAGAAGAGGGTGACCAGTACTATACAAGCTAAGCCAGTTGGGGCAGAAGGGCCTGTGTACTAAGAAAGCATTTAGGCAAACTGAAGGCAAATGGAGGTGGTCGGAGTGAAAACAGATAAAACAATACAGAGAGGAGGTATTGGGGCAAGCGCTGTATTAGCAAATGCTCTAGGGCAGTGGGGATGGTCATGTCATGAACATGGAGGCTGAGGAAGTTCCATGCCCCCCAAAGATTATATTCCCCAGGCCTATGGTGGTCTGACATTCCACCATCAGAATGCCATCCCACTGAGAGAAATAACAATTTAGAGCTGTTTCTGAGAGGGTTTTAATGGATGTACCAGGGATGTGGGAATAGAATCAGCACACAGGAGGATGGGAGAGGTCAGTTCCCTAATACTAGGCAGGGGGGAATACCAAGCAGGCCTCCAAGGCAGCATTTCCAAGTGTGTTCCAGTGAGGTGGTCTGTGAAATAGGGGTGCCAGGGTCACGTAAGTATAGGCCCCTCTTGAAGAGTAATAATTCGCTTATAGAAGAAAAGCCCTGAGACATTCTGAAACTAAACAAAACCTTTTTAGTCAGCATTCCCTAAATTTATAGAAAACTCTGTCGCATACCACCTATTAATACCTCAAGGCATTAAAAGAAATGGTGCTTTATGAAATTATGCTAAGTCATGTAAAAAGCACTTGTTAACGTCCCCCTGTGGTGTGGAGCACTGTTCATAGGGCTGTAGCAAAAGCTTAGGATCGAGCGATGGGATCCTGCAAGCTAGGCTTCCACCCCTGAAAGTACACACATGCCCCGGCTCGGGGGTGTTGACATTGAAGCTTTGTGCCCTGGACAGGGGAGCTAGCTCAGCAGGGTTAAAAACCGGATTTTGTAAGAAGCAAATGAATAAAGGAATCCTCTTGGGAAATTTTTTTTCTGAGATCTGTGCCAGGAAAGAGAAACAAATTCAAGGACTCACTGAGGACAGACTTCTTCCTGGGCTGCAGGCTGCTTACCTTCTTCTGTGTTCTTTAGTACAGAGCCTATCCTCCCCCATCCCTCTCAACTCCCAGCATCCTGTGGTCCAGCCACACCACACTGCTTCCAAAGACTTTCTAGCTTCATATATGATATTCCCTCTACCTAGGACACACTTACCACCCTCCTCTACTTGGTTGAGGTCTGTGCCTCCTTAAAGTCTCAGAATAATCATCTCTATCTCTTAGAGTCTTTCCCTACCCCTCTCCTTGGCTTTGCACAGACATCTATTATGATACTTCCCACCTTGTATTGTAATTTATTTACAAGCATTCCACCTTTGTAAATATAAAACAATATTTTTTAAAAGATATATTTTATTCACTCTTAAATTCCCAGCATTATTACAATGCTTAGAATATGACTGGTGCTAAAATAGTTGACCCAAAATGATGGCCAAGCACATTCAACTCACAAATGTGACTTTCATAACTTTTTTAAAAAATCCTCATCCAAGAATATGCTTTTTTATTGATTTTAAAGAGGAAGGAATGGAGGGGGTGGAAAGAGGGAGAGACCTACCGGGTATCAAACCCACAACCTGGGTATGTGACCCTTCAGTGCATGGGACTACACTCCAACCAACTAAGCCTCACCGCCAGGGCCATGCCTCTATTTTTTATGAAAGAGTTTAGAATTTTAAAAAATCCCACCTCCCCCAGGAAAGTCATTTGCAGAAACATGTAAACAGAACCCAACATGCACTAGAGACAGAAATATAAAGTGACTCGCCATCTCGCAGACATAAGAAAACCCAGTGTCAGATGTGATTACCTATCACAGACAATTTCCCAGCTGGAGAATCTTGAGTTCTGACTAATCAGAGTCGGATCATCTTGTCTTGCTGCCCCGAGCAGTTGGTCTGTACACACGTCACACTCATTCCTCCCAGTGGCAAAGTTCCAGTAGGGCAAAGCAAAGGACTCATTGCCAATAAGTCGCTAAAAGCAAAGGACATGCCTAGTCACTTAATCCAGCCATCAGATAGAACAGGAAAGCATATAATGCAAAGAATGTTATGGGTCTTCACCAAATGTATAACAAAATGTAAGGAACCAAAAGTATGGTTTTCACCAACCTGGAGATCTCTTTCCAGCCACAACAAATGGTACCGATGCCAGGTGACAAAGGCGGGTCCTTGGTGTGAGAAATCAATGGCCTTGTAGGGGCGCCCTGGTCCTAAAACAATTGGGAAACTAATTAGAGACCACAGAACAGAGTTTTTTAAAAAGTTAAACCTTACCTAGGATGTGTCTGCAAAGCCAATAAATCCATGGTGTTTTAGTCCAAAATAATTGTTTTGGTCATTTATCTTTCTGAAAGCAACAACAAAATCATTTCAGAATCAACTGGCACTTTTAGGGTGAATTCTTCAACTTTCAAAAGTTTGAATGTCAACGGAGACCCAGAGAAATTCAGATCACTTTCAGCTTTAAAAGTCCATGTTATATATTTAATGAAATCAGAGTCTCCAAAGGAATAGATCATTAAGACCTAAATGAAATATATTTTTAAAAGATATTTTCTAACTGATTCTTTACAAATGAATACATTTACAAGGGAAGGATTAATTAAGAATAAAGCATCTTCTAATGCACGCAGTCTAATTCAGCATTTATATAACCAAAAAGAACTTTCACGGATTTTGCCTTAGCCATCAATCAGTTAGAACTACTGGCTGACAAGTGTGGTCGCCGACACTAGAAGAGAGAAAAATACATTCAAACCAACGTGGCTGGCCACTGGAAATGCCAATTTTACTGAAAAGTTGTGGGCCATTTAATGACCTCCCTGCTGCCTGTTCCATCCTTCTTCCCCCTTTCATAACAGCTTTTGATGGTTATGTAGAAACTTTAGCTAACTTTAGTTCTTTTTCAAAGTACCTATAATAACTTCAGAGAGCTGAACAGACATGAATATAAATTTAATTCCTAGATTCGACCAGAAACTATAGTTTTTCTTTTACTCTTGAGAGACTAGCCTCTCATAAAGCAAAAATTCCTCAGAGTCAGGATGGGAAAGCTATAAAGGTTTATGGCCAGAAGAGCCTCCTTATCTCTCGATAGAGAAAGACAGATGCGTACTTGAGAGGCAAGTGTTTTAAAGACACATGGAGGAAAGGACTGCAGCTGCTGCTGTTGGCTGTGCAGCCCTTTTTAAATGTTTTAACCCAGAAAAAGTTTAAAGTTCTCAAAACAGAATGATGGGGGAGAATAATATTGTATGTCAACTGTAAGGGAAAATTTTGTTTTAATTCAAAAAAATAAAGTTAAAATTAAAAAAATGATGAGGGAAAAGCAAGTGATGGGGAACCAGTGATAAACAGGAGGACAGTCAATTCCAATTAAGAAGGGGACTATTCAAAGTGAGCTTCATGTCCTCATGAACCCTCACCCCAGACAGGGTCTCCCAAAGTGGGAATAATAGCAGGTATAACCAAAGGTTCAGAACTGCACTGAGCAGACGCTGGAATGGACTCAAGCCCCTCTGGAACAAACTAGGGTTTATGGTTTTCACCTGAGTCAAAAACGACTGAGGATGGAGCAGAACCTACTAGATCAGTGGTTCTCAACCCTCTGGCCCTGTAAATACAGTTCCTCATATTGTGACCCAACCATAAAATTATTTTCGTTGCTACTTCATAACTGTAATGTTGCTACTGTTATGAATCATAATGTAAATATCTGATATGCAGGATGGTCTTAGGCAACCCCTGTGAAAGGGTCGTTCGACCGCCAAAGGGGTCGCGACCCACAGGTTGAGAACCGCTGTCCTAGATTAATGAAGTTCCTCCCATTCCAAGTCCTACCCAAGCCCCAATTTTTAGGATCCAGAAGGGCAAGGCACCATTTTCTCAAACATCAAACATAACTGTAGTCCAATAACTGAGCCAGAAGGAACACTACATTGTTGTGGCTGTGCTTTTTCTTGACAATACAACTCCAGAAAAACCCTGGGGATCCCAGCAGGGCATGGGCACCGTAGATGATGACCTGGGAGTCTAAAGACTAATACGTGTGAGTTTACTGGTAATGACACGCTTCCAACACACACTCTAATTCTGCCCAAAGAAGTGTCATGTGGTTTAGCATGTGTTTAGTTAATTCCTCTAATTTGAAGAAAAGGTCAGAGAGGGCTCCCATGGCCAGATTTAAAAAATGTTTGCTGCTGGAATCAAAAGAAATTTGCCTTGCCCTGGCTGGTGTGGCTTAATTGGCACTGACAGGTGGCCAGTTCAAGTCCTGGTCAGGGCACATACCCTGGTTTTGGGCTCTATCCCCAGTAGGGTGCGTGCAGGAGGCTGCTGGTCAATGTTTCATATCGATGTTTCTCTCTCACTCTCTCTCTAAATTCAATAAAACTATTTTTTAAAGGAATTTGCCTTCAATTCACCATCTCTTGCCTTTGAGAATTAATAGCTTTGTAGACAAGATTGGACTTCAAACTCAAAACACAAACTACAGGAGAGAACATTTTCAAATGTTTGCAGCTGATGTGCAGGAAGAAACTGCTCCAGCCTAACTTTAGGCAGCATTTGACAGTTCTCTGACTTTTTCACACACCTACCCCTTCCTTCCGGTTGTGCTCTTGTTAATTAACTTGTCTGAAATTACTTTCCATCCACCTACCCCACCCCCAAACACAAATCGATGATAATATACGTTAATCTAAGGGGAAAACCCACCTAATAATGTATCTCTAACAGAATAATAATGAAGCCACACAAAGAAATCATAAATGCTGCAGTTGGCGATCTGTGGCTGGGTCCCGTTGGGCCCAAGCAGGCCCAGCCAGTGTTGCGTGGTGATCACGTAGTCAGGGTGTGTGGTGTTCTTCGCGAGGTCTAAGGCACCCAAGAACTGCTCCCTCTCCTGAGGGGTCAAAAAATGAATGTTCTTTCGAATAACTGGTGGTTTCTTCTGATCGCAGTTGGGGCCAGTCCAGCCAAACTTGCAGTCTCCACAGTTAAAGCCAGCAAAGTTTCCTAGAGTATTGGGGATGGGGGCGGGCGGGGGTGGGGGGGGGGGGGGCGGGGAGAGAAATGGAAGAAGTAAGTTTACGTCCTTTGGAATAAATTTCTGAAGTTGAACTTTGGGATAGAATGGATGAGAAGATGACGGTGCTTGCAAGGGGGAAAAGAAAGCCAATTTCCTTCCCTTACTCTCTTGAAATGTTTGTATCTCAAAGTGAACTGGACACTAGAGTGTTCCCTAGAAATTTTTCCTGCAAAGAAACAGGATATCAAGTGTATTACATGCTGTTATGGACTCAACTGTGTCTCCCCCCAAATTAATATGTTGAAGTTCTAACCCCTAGGACCTCACGATATGACTGTATTTGCAGACAGGGTCTTTAAAGAGATAATTAAGTTAAAAGGAGGTCATTTGGGTGGTCCCCTAATCTGCTATGACTGGTGTCCTTATAAGAAGAGGAAAGTTAAACACAGATAGTTGCACAGATAGTGATGACACAGGTAGAAGACAGCCAAACCTGCCAACATCTTGATCTTGGACGTTAGGCCTCCAGAACTGTGAGAAAATGAATTTCTGTCAGCTAGTCTGTGGTGCTCTATGACAGCACTAGCAATCTAAGCGCATGTTGTCATCTATACTCTCCTTCCTCTCATGGGTCATGATTCTCTCTATCTCCCTACCTGAGACTGACCTACCTGAGACCGAGCGGCAGCCTCAATGTCCACCTGCTGAGCCCCGCTATCCTGTGGCATACACTAAAAGGCTGACACAAGACAGTTCATTGGTTTAGAGGAGAGAATATACACTAAGCTAAAGGCGAAACCAACATATATAAGCTGATTTCCAAGAATTCAGGTGAAATCTAACATTAAGAAAGTTGGTTCATTTCACAAAGGAGACAGAGTTAATGCAAAATCAATGAAGACTGGCAGGTCATAGAGGTGAATTAGCTGCCATGGCATCAGGAAGTGGAAATCACTGCGGGTTCCCTGTGTTTGCACAGACTCTCTGCTCTTTCAACCCAGAGAATGAGAACTAGGCAACCAGTCGATGTGTCTCTCTCACATCAATGTTTCTCTCTGTCTCTTACCCTCCCTTCCACTCTCTCTAAAAATCATCGGAAAAATATCCTCAGGTGAGGATGTACAAAAAAAAAATTGTACATCAACTATTATTGAAAAATAAAAAAATTAAAAATTCATGTTATACCATGTCTCAGAGAAAATATTCCAAAGCTCTGCAGATCCTTTTCATTTTTTAGCTTCTAAACCTGATCTCAAAAATCTGTTAAATGCTGATGACAACTGAAAAGTGCAACAATTTAAAACCCTAGCACCCAAATGTTTATTTCTTTAATTTAGACTTCCTAGTAGTTCAATCCACCATAGCAACAGCAAAAAATAAAAATAAAAAAATAGAGGGCCCTTTTAGAAATGAAGAGAAAGGGCCCTTTTAGAAATGAAGAGAAAGAAAAAATAAAGGTTCCCTAGATACCAATCTATCTAGCACTGAGTATGTCCTTGAGCAAAATCTACTTAGCACTGGGATAAAAATGGAAAGAGACTAAGGGCAACCAAACCATGCACGTTCCTACACGAACTACATCAGCTCAACCTCAGAAAGCTATTAGACTAAATAAGCTTAAAGACCACCGATTAGTGGATTTATAAGGAGCTCTAAATAGCTATTCCTTTTAATTAGAGATTCTATTATTTTAATAACAATACTTTATACTCACATAGGGCCTTTCATCTACAGAGCTCAAAAGGATTTTACAGGTGTGGTTTCATCATTATCCCCATTCCAGAGATTGGAAAATGGAGGCACTTAGTCACTTGTACAAACAAGAAGTTCTCAGACAACTATTCAAAAACTATTTGGTGTGCATGTTTTTCAAGTCTAAAGACACAGCTGCAACTGGTTAGTCTCAGAAAAGCCATGTGGCAGGTAGGACTTATAAAGTGAATGGCTAAGTCTCCTGAAATTCAGCTCTTCCTGACAATTACGTTCAATAACTTTTGTTTTCAATTTATCCCCACAGAGAATAGAGAAATGAGAAATTCTCTCTAGAGAATTTGAGCACTTAATTTAGAGTCCCCCCCACCTCAGAGTTTGCATTTATTTTAATTAAATAGGCTAAAATATTCTACCAACTTCAAGATCATAGAAACTATGGTGTGTTAATTTTTATTTTTATTTTTTGTGTGGTAAGAACACTTACATTTTTAAGTGTGTAATACATTATTGTAGGTACAAAGCTATAGAACTGTCAGTTATTTTGCTCAATCTGATTAATTTAGATAACTCATATAAGTGGAATCATGCAGTTTTTGTCTTTCTGTGACTGATTTATTTCTTTAGCAAAATATCCTCCAAGTTCATCCATGTGTTACATATTACAGAATTTTCTTCCTTTTTTGGCTGAATAGTATTCAATTGCACATATATACTGCTTGGCTAGGATGTGGAGAAATTGGAAACCTTGTGCACTATTGGTGGGAATGCAAAATGGGGCAACTGCTTATGGATAACAGTATGAAAGTTCTTCAAAACTTAAAAATAGAACTATTATATGATCCAGCAATCCCACTTTGGGGTATTTATCCAAAGGAATTGAAATTGAGGTCTCGAAGAGATATTAGTATCCCCACGTTCATTGCAGCACCATTCCCAATAGCTAAGATGTGGAAACAAACTAAATACCCAGCAATAGATGAATGGTGTGCTTATTTTTCCACTGATTTAACGAAGTTCAAGGTCATCAGTAGCCTATTTGCCAGAAGCTAATCTATACTTTTTTTTTAAATCCTCACCTGAGGAGATTTTTCCATTGATTTTTAGAGAGAGTGGAAGAGAAAGGGAAAGAGAAATATCGATGTGAGAGAAACACATCAATTGGTTGCCTCCTGCACGCACCCCGACCAGGGCCCCAAATGGACACCCAGGGTATGTGCCCTTACCTGGAATTGAACCTGGGATCCTTCAGTCCACAGGCCAATGCTCTATCCACTGAGCCAAACTGGCTAAGGCTATTCTTCTTCTTTAAATTTTGGGTGACCCCAGTGAATCCCAGAGATCCTATTTGCAAAGTAATTATGAGGCTACCAGAGAAGAGGGTTTTGGAGCACTCACGATTAGTTTTAAATTGTGAAGACTGGCGCTTAAACCATGAAAAAGCTACCCTAGGAAGGCAAGCAACTCACTCTTCAGGGAGAATACACGGAAAGACATGTGTCTTGCTTTGGGACATATGACATCACAGTGATTACTGTGCCTATTAAATAACTTTCCAGCTCAGTCACTAAGGATTTAGTCTGGTGCCCTGAGTCCCAAAGAAAAAGACCATCTCCCCAATGTAAGTGGAGCCAACCAAAGTGGGGATGGAAAGAACTATGGTCCTGTATGAGTCTGGATAAATCAATTCATGGAAGAGGGGTAAGCCATAACTTGGTAGTGGGTCTCTGAAGTAGTCATGGCCGTGACAATGGCTGGAGTTGGAGACCATACACCATACACCTTGAGGAAGCCCTGCTTCCTTTGATTGGCTTATGGATGTGAGAGATCCTTACAGTCTGGACTTACAGGACAGGCCCTGTTTCTGGCCCTCTGCCTCGTAGGTATGTTTATCCTCCTCAGAGCAGGGGATCCCTTTTATGTTTTGAATGTAGGCCACCGTGACCCCAAATTTCTGTCACTTCTAGAGAAATATTTATAAGCATTCCCTCAGGAAAGAGAAATTACAATTATCCCTTCTATTCTGCCACTCTCTGTTCTTCCCATCCCCATCTTTTTTTAAAAAAAAAACTTGTAACACAGGTCAAAAAGATAAAGTAGATGGTGATAAGAAGAATGGACATTTATATCTGATTTCTTAATACCTTCTGTCTCAGAGATTTCCAACCTGTGTACTTGCGGTACTCTAACATTGATTGATCCGGAAATAAGTGTTCTGGAAGAAATTTAGTTTCAGTCCATACAAAGAAATTACTGTGTGGTGTGGTTTCCAATAACCCAAGTAATATGAAACCTGCTGTTTCTCATTAGACTACAAAGCCATGAGAACCTACGAGATAATGTCTATAGAAACAAATGCTCAATTGGTTTAGAAAAGTGGACAGTAATATTCAATATGCTATTAAAAAACTCCTGGTCACAATTAATACACAAGGCAAAATTAATAATTTCTTTGAGTCATAGAATTAACAATATGACTACAAAATGATTACAAAGCCAGAATTATTTTTGAAGTTTAAAAATACCAACATCACTCCTACTTTAATATCACAATCTTTTGTACATTCTCTTGGTTCACTTTTTACAACCTTACATAGTTCAATTATCTGTATTTCCCAGGGTTTTGGTATCATATAAAAATATAATACAACATAATTTAAAAAAGAAAACCCCTTACGCAGCTGGACACGGCAGGACAGTGTCGAAGGGCTTTGCTGAAGTTGCCGCTTATGTTTTCTGTGTTTCACATGCCCTGCCCGCCTTTGAGAGTTTGTCATGGCTGTCACAGCTGCTGAGCATGGAGGGAGTCCAGAGAAGAGGATCTGAGAAGGCTCAGAAGAGCCAGAGGCATAAGAAGTGCGCAGGGATTTCAAAGAAACGGATCATAAGAGAGACCAAGGCCGAAAAGAGGGACACTGCGCAACTGTGAAATGCCCACATCGAACCCAGAAAAGAGAGAGAAAAGCCATTGCTCTCCGATAACAATCCTCCCTCCCCAGATCACAGAGACAGCTTGGCCCCGCCACATCTCTCCAGCTTTGGCAAAGTTACGACCCACCCAGGCATAACGTCCCCCTGCGTGAGACCTGTCGAAATCATTCGAAACTCGGACACTCAGACGACAGGACACCTGCCTTCCACGCCCGTCTTCCAGATGCCAACCTCACCCGCCCCTCTCTTCAACAAGCGCAAACCCATTTCGGGAGAGGGCATTGACTCCATCGTGAAAGGACTTGCTCTGGCTTTCAAAGCTGACTCCTGAGCCCTGTAGCTTCCAACAGACAAGCCAATGGTATGTTGGCATGAGTTCAGATAGCCGGGCTTGGCTCATGTCATATTTACTTAGATTCCATAACTACATGTACTAGAGGGCGTGGAGACTATAAGCAAGACATGAGCCTTCCTCAATTTGCTCCCTCCGAGAAACAAACTTGGATTGCCTTGCAGAGCCTGGCCTAGCCGTCTCTTCGCTGGGGCTCCTTTCCCAACTGGGCCCTCCCCACGCAGTGAGGGGCAGGCCAGGTCTCCCCCCGGGGGTCTGCCTCACCTGTGCAGTTGCAGGTCCGGTTGAAGAACTTCCGTGGCCACCGTTCTCGGTCATCCTGGTTTTTCAGGACATAAGGACCACTCCAGGGCCTGGTGTCGGCTTGCACCTCCGTGCACTGGCCCCGGCCCTCTTGAGAGCCACAGACGTTGGCCGGCTCCACACCCAGCGGCGGGCAGCACTCCTTGGCCACCAGGCTGGCCACCGTCATGCAGACCCGGGGGAACTGGGCCCGGGCTCCGGGCAGCATTCCACAGCCCAGCCAACTGAGCAGAAGCCCCCACCAAAGAGAGCGCATGGCTTTACAATCGGGGAACTTGCTCTCTCCTCCTATACTGCTTTCTTCTTGTCTTCCACTCGAGCTCTTGAGCATTCACTCCGTTTTTTATTTTTGTTTGTTTTTGTTGTCTTGTTTTGTTTTTGTATATTTTTGTTTTGCGGTCTGTTCCTCTCCTCTTTAAAAAATACCCGCAAAATCACAGAACCCACGCATGTGCACGTGTGTACATGCACACGCACAGACTATTTTATGTGATCCAAACAACTCAAACAAATTTAATTTTATAGAAGCGCCTCTAACAGCCAGATTTAATGAGGGTAGCGCTTCTCACCATCTTCCCCGTTAAATCAGGCTTTGTCTAATTGAGTTAATTTGCAGAGCACTCCAGTCATACTACTTATTATGCTGGTATTTTTAACCCCCCTCCTTTACTCCTTAGCCCATGACTTTAATTGCCTTGAACTCAGTTCAAAAGCCAAACACCGGGCTGCCTTTATTCCGTCTGGATTGCCAGCCACCGGGCCTCGTGGGGTTTGTGTAAGGGCTGGGAGAAGCCATCATTAGGGGGATTAGTGTTAGAGAAAGCCTCATGGTTAGCACATGACCCAAAGTGCACAATGAAGTAGATAAAGTTTCTGGCTCTGTTTCAAGAGAGTAAAACCATCTTCATTATCTGGGCTCATGTGCTCCAGCCAAGCTTGTGACCTCAGACTTCCCAGGGAGTCAATAGATGCAGTGAGTTCGTTGTCAAAGGCCCTTTACAGACAAGCGTGCATTGCTAACTACATTCACTCCTGACTGCTCCCTGACGTGCTAGGAAGACCGTTACAGGAGGTCACACAGCTTCAGAAATAAAGAAACATTTATTTAGGGATGGCATACAATGAATTGCTTCGTTCCACAATTAGGGACCCTCTTCCTTCCAAATAATAAGGTACTATTCTCCTATTCAGCACATCCAGCCTGCAGATTTTTTCTTAATTACATGAAGTACCAGCCACAGAAATTCAAAATTGTCATTATCTAATTGTAAGGAAGGGTTTGCCAGTGACATCTTTGATTTATGCTAAGTTAAGCATTGCCGATCTAGAAGGCAATGCCTCCCTTAGTGCTTCTGGGGCATCAGGGGGAGGGGGTTTGTCTAGATTCGTCAGAGCATCCATTCACTTCTTCACGGTGGAAACAGGACTGTCTGAGTTCCAAAAGGGTCCATACAGACTGCTGACAGTCCAAACAGTTCCTAAGAATACTTTATATTAGGGCATAAAGATACAGAATGTTATTTCCAGAGCAATTTCCTAAGGTTAAAACATTTTCTATAGCTGTTCCCATCCCATGTACTTCTATGTCACCCCATGATATTAAGCTGTTGTCACTAATTAAATGACAGTTTTCAACCCTGACTACCCACCAAAACCAGCCTGTACCCCAAGCCCAATGAAGCAGAATCTCTGAGAGCCAGACTTCAGTCTTTTTCATAAGTTCTCTAGGCCAGTGGTTGGCAAACTGCGGCTCGCGAGCCACATGCAGCTCTTTGGCCCCTTGAGTGTGGCTCTTCCACAAAATACCGACTTCTGTGCATGGGCCACGAAGTTTCAATAGCACTGTACGTGCGTGACCGCACGTGGTATTTTGGGGAAGAGCCACACTCAAGGGGCCAAAGAGCCGCATGTGGCTCACCAGCTGCAGTTTGCCGACCACTGCTCTAGGCCATTCCAATGTGCACTCAGAGTTGAGAATCACTGGGTCAGAATAAGACACAGCTCCAGTGGAAATGTGGAAATAGAGTCAGTCAAAAGATTCCACGTATGTTATGTTCCTAGGCTGCCCTAACAAGCTACCACAGTCTGTGTGGCTTAAAATAACTGAAATGTATTCTCTCACAGTTCTGAGGACCAGAAATTCAAAACCGATGTGTCTGTGGGACTGTGCTCTCTCTGAAGCTCTGGAGGGGCATTCTTCTTCCCTAACGTAGTTTCTGGGGGCTGCCACCATTCCTCAGCATCACTCCAATCTCTACCATGGCCACATGGCCTCCTCTCTTCTGTCTGTGTCTCTCCTCTCGGTGTCTCTTATAAAAATACTTGTCAGTGGCTGTAGGAACCAGCTGGATCATCCAGGAAGATCTCATCTTGAGATCTTACATCCACAAAGACCCTTTATCATTTAAGTTCCCATTCACAGTTTCTGAGGCATGTAATGGCTTTTTGGAGGCCCTATTCAACACACTATGTCATGGAGATGAATCTTGAACAATACTTGAATTTTAGTATCTCAGATTTAGAAGGGTATTTTGGAGCTCATTCATCCCATGTGTATTTATTGACCCTCTTTATGCCAACCTTGTCCCACTTCGGGATTTAACTTATGTTTTGTGATGCCCTGGTTTCATAAATATTAGATTCAAAGTTTGTGATTATTGACATTGATGGAGTCAATGAGTCTTATGTCAGAATGCCCCCAGATCTAGGTCATAGGATCTCATTTCTTTCATAACAGCACTTGCTAAATAACTCCCCTGGTCTGTGGCTTTAAATGCAGGCTATCATGACTCCCCAAATTACATCTCTGGCCCTGACCTCAGCTGTGAGCTCCAGATTCATATACCTAACTTACTCCTTAACCTCTCACTTGGAGATCTAGACACTCCTCACTTAACATGTTCAAAGCAGAACTTTTGCTTTCTCTTCCCAGATTTGTTTCTCATAAGTCTTCCCCACCTTGGTAAAGAATGTCCCCACAGTCCTGTAATTGGTCCTTGATTTTTCTCTTTTTCACCTCGCCTATGTGTGCTTCCCCTTGCACTTGGAGTAAAATCTAAGGTCCTTTCCATGCATTACTCAAAGTGTGGTTTACAGATCCACAGACATGTGTTCGTGGTCTGCATCAAGGTATCTTATATAATACAAGCCTAATATGCTAAGTGTCTGGTCATCTAGTTGGCTCTTCAAACAATCAAAGCATAATATGCTAATGATATGCTAAGGCCGCTCAACTGCTCACTATGACATGCACTGACCACCAGGGTGCAAACGCTCCGACCAGTAGGTTAGCTTGCTGCTGGGTTCCAGCCTATCAGGACTGAGCGAGATGGGCCAGACATGCCCTGGAGCCCTCCCACATCCCTCCCTGGCCCCAATCATGCACCAGTGGGGTCCCTCGGCCTGGCCTGTACCTTCTTACAATCTGGGACCCTCGGGGGATGTCAGAGAGCTGGTTTCAGCCTGACAGCAGAACAACCAGTCACTATGACACACACTACCAGGGGGCAGACGCTCAATGCAGGAACTGCCCCCTGGTGGTCAATGCACTCCCACAGGGGGAGCACCACTCAGCCAGAAGCTGGGCTCACGGCTGGTGAATGCAGCAGCATCGGCGGGAGCCTCTCCGCAGCAGCACTAAGGATGTCCGACTGATGGGCCTAAGCCATCAATCGGACATCCCCCAAGGGCTCCTGGACTGCGAGAGGGCACAGGCCAGGCTGAGGGACACCCTTCCCCCCTTCCCCGAGTGCATGAATTTTGTGCACCGGGCCTCTAGTATACAATAAGGAGAGAAATTAAAAGTCAGCATTTAGAAACTGTCATAGCAATTTGACATTGCCACAATGTCAAGCACATGATCTGTGAACTCATCTCATTGAAGACAGGGTACAGTTAGCGTTGGGGGGTGTCAAACTTGTATGGTGTTGATCTTATTGCACATGCTGCAAACTAACCATGTTGGATCACATGTTGGTCTGTGGCTGATTTTATTTTTAATTTGTAAAGCTCTTTACCATAGGTAGTTTGGTAACTGGTGTGTAAGATCCTCCACGATCTGTCCCTCACCCACCTTGCTCTCCCTCTTATTCTGCAGTAGCAGAGCACAGTAACCACTCTGTTACTCAAACATGTGTTCATTTCTTTTTTTTTTAAATTGATTTCAGAGATAAGGGAGAGGGAGAAATAGAAACATCAATGATGAGTGAAAATAATTGGTCAGCTGCCTCCTGCATGCCCCACACTGGGGATTGAGCCTGAAACCAGGTCATGTGCCCTTGACTGGAATCAAACCCAGGACCCTTCAGTCTGCAGGGTAACATTCTATTCACTGAGCCAAACCAGCTAGGGCAAACATGTGTTCATTTCCACCCTGGCCTTTGTACTGCCTTTCCTTCTGCCTGGAACGTTCACGCTCAGAATCCTCCTTGTCACTCAGGTTTCAGTGACATATATTAGCTCCTAAGAGGTCATCCCAGACCACTCACTTTACTGTGTCTACAGTCACCTACTCTCTACCATATTTCATTATTTGTTCTTCAGAGCACTTACTACTATTTAAAATTATCTTATTTATTGGTTTGGTTGTTGATTGTCTGTGTCCTCTCCTCTCCTCAAGTTCTTCCAGGAGATCAGGAAACTTAACCATGTCCCATTTCCAATGTCAAGAACAGTACTGGCAAAGAGTGTCTACTTGATAACAATTGATGAGTAAATATTCCCAATTCTCAATTTTTAATTTCATCAGCAAAGCCTCACCATTATAGAAATTGGTTTTATACAAATTAAATGTTATTAATTTTACTATGTAAAAATAAGTGTAGACTAATAAACACATGTTGGTCTGTGTTGAGGGTTCCTTTTAAGATTTTGTTACACTACTAAAAGTGTTTAAAAACCACTGGCTCCACATCACCAATAACAGCAAATTTTCTCCTCACTGTTTCTGACAAGATATCACCAGTGTCTGGTTAAATACCTCTGATATTGTTTATCTTGTGGCAAAGAAAGCAATAATGGGAAATTGCCTAATGCTCACTTCTACTCTCATTTCATTGGCAAAAGCAAGTCTCATGGTCAAGACTATTGTTCTCAAAGACAGGGGCTCTGTAAGGAGGACCCCTATAGGGAGGGTCAGCAAATATTTCATTTTCACTGCATTTAAAATTAACTTAAATGTCTCATATAGCTTAAATGTCTCATATAGCTTTGACACTGCTGCTATAAAGTCAAATGTCTCTCCTATCTCCATTCCCT